ATAGATAGATAGATAGATAGATAGATAGATAGATAGATAGATAGATAATTTCTGTGGCCTGTACTAGATCACTAATTAACACAAATATACTAAAAGTAATGCAAAAAAGAGAGCTCAGTGTATATTGTCACATCAAGATTTGGTGTTAGTGTTTTGCTGATATCCAAAAGCATGCAAGCACCCTCATAAAACAGTGCACAGAAAGAATCTTAGTATATATTCTCTCACTCTGTTTGTGTACAAGTGTGTGTTTAACAGATGGTAATCTTGGGCCACCACATCCCATCCCAATCTGCCAACACTGGGAAGGTTGGAAGGAAAGAGAAGACAAGGACAACCACAGCAAAGCGGATGGACTCAGTAACAGTAGTGATGGGTGCACCTACCCTTAGAACAGCTGAAGGACCACTTTAGGGACAAAATCACCCTGGAGAGAATCTATCTATTGTGGTTCTCAAAGAATCAAGATTGACTTGGTGGAGATAATTCATCAATGTGCCGGATCACCGCTTTTCTACAGTTCTGGCTGGTTTAGGTTTCCCAGAGCTTTTAAGGGATGGTCCTCTTTTAGTGGTCCAGACGACACAACACGAGGAAAGTTAATTTATTAGTCAATGCAAGAACATGAAACAGACCCCCAGCCAGGTCCCACAAATCATAGCAACACAATTAAGAGAAAGCTTGGGCCATTTCAGGGCAGTTTATGAGCTCGCTCCGTTGGGCTCCGTGTCCCACGAGGGACGCCCAAAAGAAAAAAAAAAAGGTGGTAATTATGCTTGGAGTTGGCAAGATGATGTAAGACTCTGATGGGATTTGTTCCAAATGGTGTAAATTGCTTTTTCTTAGGGGGATCCAAGCAGGGGGGCAACAGAGCTTTCCTCTGTGTAATCAGAGGCCAGCTAAGTAGCAGCAGATCAGCCTTGAAACAAAGTGCTTTCATCAACTCCATCCATCTTTGCATGGGAGGCATTTAATCTCCTGTTGTTAGCCTTGATTATGTGAAGGAAACTGTGTGTGTGTGTGTGTGTGTGTGTGAATGTGGGTGGGTAGGTGGGAAAGAATGAGCTATATCCTGGGGATAAGATTCTTTTTAAGAACAGAAGAAGTTGGAACACGAAGGCCTTGCAGCCTGAGAAAACCTGTGACACAGGTAGCCAGCAGTGGGATCAGAGGTGGTACTCACCAGGTTCTGGCCAGTTCTGGAGAACCGGTAGCTGAAATTTTGAGTAGTTTGGAGAACCGGCAAATCTCACCTCTGACTGGCCCAGCCCCACTCTATTCTCTGCCTCCCATTGAGTCCCAGCTGATTGGCTGGGTCTTCTTTGGTTGCCCTGCACAGGAGAACAGAGCTGGAAAGCAGGTTAGTGGGGTGGGGAGGGAATGGGGATTTTGCAGTATCCTTCCCCTGCCACACCCACCAAGCCACG